CTTATGAATTATTCATATACAAAACAAATGAATGATTTTGGGTTAAATTTTTTTGAATTTGAGCGAATTCTTTTTCTGATATATGTGTCGACATTACAATATTCAAACAAAGTGAGAATAAATTGAATTAAAATATATTACAATTTTTTGTATGACTATCCAAAAATATTATATGCACATATGTACAAACACACATATCGTCGTTTAAAGTACAAAACCGCGTATCGTCATTCTGCAAACCCGCGTAACTGACATTAGCTGCCAAAAATTGGATTTGCTCACACAAGCTCTTTGCTCAATCCTTATCCATTCGTCCTGAAATATACTATCCAGAAATGCGATTTCTTTATAAAAGAGAGAACCAATTTGAAATATGAGTGTTTTTACTCTCTAGAAAATAATTTCTACAACTTCAAATACGCGGTTTTGCATTTTGTTGATACGCGGTTTTGCACTTTAAACGACGATATGTATGTATGTATTGCTGCGCTCCTATTACAATACGAACAAACTTGTTTGTAGAAAAAATCTTTTACCGAAATGAGTTTGAATGATTTGAATGTTTAAAACAAAATTTATATTCATAATAGTAGGGATGCGACAGAGTTACATTGGCTTCAGCCTATCAAGTTTATTCAGTGAAATCGCTGGAGAAATTTATCAGAAATGTGTAAACGAGTTTCCATACAAATTTTAACAGTTAACTTATAAGGTTTACACAATTATAAGTTTATACGGTTTATAATGCATTTTTAACGTTTAATGAATACCCTTATTAATTAGTATCAGAATCTAAAACTCAAAAGAAAAGCGTTACATCCATTATACTTTGCCCATTGGGATATATTTGCAATGCTCCAGTATGTGTATTTATACACTACGTGTGTATATAAATTTGTGGAAATATGAATTCTGATCTCAACGTGATTCGAGGCGACAAAATAAGTGGTTTAAAATGTAACGTAAGTAACCGCCTACTAATTTCCCATTAGCCCGTATTCACCCAACCATCAATGAGCATATTTTTGTAAGCGTAGTAAGTAATAAATGTGTATATCCATATAGGCACATGCATACATACATATGTACGCAGACGCAGTAAATAAGAAGTGGTGGATGAAATTTTTGGTGTCTTTCATTCCTTTGAATACCACACATTTAGTTCACAATCTGTATAACCTGAACAGATTGGCGGTTCTTCTCTAGCAAAAGCTGCATAAAAACTAGAGTTAAGGGGTTGATTTACTCTAATTCATGTTAGTGTTATTTAGAAATAACGAGACGTACATTTGAAGAAACTGGTGTCCGCAGCTTTATTTCTGCACATATATGTACGTTAGCGTGGGCCGAAAATCCACTTTTTTAGAATTTTGATTGGTAATAGCAAAAATATGATTTATTATGCTCTAAAAATAATCTGTGTGAATGGTGAGAATTTTTGGTAAATATCTTATTCTCGCCCAAGTCTATCAAAGTTCAAGTGCTAAAAAAGTTTTTTTAGCGTACTTCGATTCTCTACAAAAAATATTAATTAATGTGTTTATTAATTTTTATTATTACATTGAACTTTGGTGGACTTGGGCGAGCCTAAGATATTGACCAAAAATTTTCGTATTTTACAGATTGTTTTTGGAGCATAATGAACCATATTTTTGCTATTACCAATCAAAATTCTAAAAAAGCGGATTTTCGGCCCACGCTAATGTACATATATATATATCTTAAATAAATTTCATGTGAATAATAACGTTTTTCTCAATTTTCTTGGTGTTTAATTTTATTTCGCAACGATATAATAAATTGTGAGATGACAGCCCTGCAAAAAGAGTTTATGAGGGAGAACAATCAGCTGACACGTTTTCTCGAGAAAAATCTACATTTTCACCGTTTAATTTTAACATTTTGAAGTATCTAAAGTAATTAAAATAAAAAAAACGTAAAGTTACAAAATAGCTGCGACAGATATTCTGGAGGCTTGCATTTTTTTATTTTGTGGTAAATTTTTGAGCAGGACAATTTTCTCAAAATCGGTACTGTCCCGCCAAAATCGGTATGAATGGTCACCGTATGTATACCCGTATTGTGTATGTAACGTATTCGCCCCGTAGGACCATACGCATTTGGTGGCAGTAGTTTTATTACACTAGATTCGTTCGTTTTGGCAAGAAGAACATTTTCACCATTTAATTTTAACATTTTAAAGTATCTAAAGTAATTAGAATTAAAAAAAATCGTAAAGTTACAAAATAGCCGCGACAGATATTCTGCAGGCTGCCATTTTTTTTGTAATTTTGTGGTAAACTCTTGAAACTTCACAGATCTGTTGTATTTGATGCCAATGTCCAGTGCCCCTAATATGAACATTTTATTTGAAAACTTCCCAAAGTTATAAAAAAAAAGATAATTATGATTTCCTCGAGTGACAATGAAAAAATTAATAATTTCGGTCCTTTTTCGCGTAAATCATCGTACTTATTGTACTTGTTTCTGGACGAGATCGGTCAAATAGTTTTTGAAATACACATATATCATATAAGTGGACGGTGCCACCCCCATTTTCCTAAAATTTCTTGAAAACACACTTCTTTGCTAAAGAGCGATTGTATATATAAATTTTGAATAAATATTGATGAATTCCTTAGCCACACTGTTCAAAAAATCTGAAAGTCCGGTACATACACAATATAAATTTAAGGCCGTATTTAAGAAAAGTCGCCTAACTTCAACAATTTTTATGTGATTGCAATAAATGATATATCAGTTTATTTAAAAATAGGTTTCATTTTAGATAGTACTAAATACTTTGATATTGTGGAAATTATCGATAGTCAAAATTCAAAAAAATAAGAGAAATATGTGTTTTTTTATTTTACCCGATAAAAAATCCCAACAAGCCAAGTCCGAAAATAGATTATTATATCCCATTTTAAAGGCCTATATATCCTCTTCTCACACCATATTCGAACTTTGAAATCGAATAAAAAATAGTCATTCAAAAACTCATAAATCTACAAAATCGTATTTCTGACTTAAATCGACAGGTCGCACCTCTAAATGGCCTTTGAAAAATCTTTATAATAATAGAACTTTTTATAAAAACGTCTTCAAGTTTCCAAAAAAAAACATTATCGATGGGCACGCTAATGTATATGCATACTGAGTTCCAGTTATCTTCCATGAGCACTTTGATAGATATACAGTATGAAAAATTAAGTTTGCATGGGAGGTGCCACGGCCCATTGATATATCGATTTTTTTTGCCTAGCACCCACCTTCGTCCCGTAATTATCTACATGTTTACATAGTCCAATCTCAGACTATAAGGGATCAAATTTGTTGTGCTTGTTTTTCTCAATTTCTTATCTATACCACTGTAATTACTTTTTCTGCTAGTTTAGGAATTTAAATATATTCCAACCACGGTTGCCGTTTTGGTTTGGTTTTTCTATTTAATTGATGAATATTCCGCCCTATGTTAAATATCGTCATCGCCAGTAAAAGTGACGATACGGCCATCGTCAGCAATGTTACTGATGCGCTGACGATCGTCGACGCTGGCGATGACGATATTCAGCATTGGGCCGATTGGCAACACCTGCTACAAGTGTGAACTCACCTTGCCACTGATCTTCAAATATGGCATGGCTAATCATCTGTCACAGCACGCTTCAAAAAATATCGCGGTTTCTTGCTAATTTCAATTACTCGGTGACCAACATTAAAGTGGCAGGCAAAAATATGGAAAGGTAGCAAAACTTTAATCACAGCAGTTAGCGCAGCAATCGAAAAGATATTAAACATCTTGTTAACGAACTTTAAATTGGTTGAATATTACGAGTGTTAGAGGGAAACAACCGTATTTTGCCACTTTCTTTTATATGAGCCGTTTAGTGCATCCATCCACTTTCGGAAAAATCTTAAATTTAAGTGTCAAAGCTTTTGGTAGGGATGCCCAATATTCATCGATATTCGATATCGATTGCGGTCTATGTAGATGATCGGCACATAGTTACCTTGCACACATAATCGAAGCATCAATGATTCGAGATATTCACTGTTTCAAGTTTCGATTTTCTTTTGAAGTGCAGAAAGAAAGTGTATTCAAAGTAAAATTTTTATGAGAATATTTAAATAGAAACTTGTTTAAAGAAAACAATCTCCCGATCACGTCTGCATAACTCCTGCATTACATTTCAACCAGTATCAAGTTAGATTTTTGTAGCTAACTACTAGTTATATACTTTATAGAAATCCAGAAAAAAAGCTAACTACAAGTTGGTTATTTTTTATCAATTGATAATTTTTTTCTGCAGGGTTACGACTTTTGCATTTCAGCGACGATGTTTGTTGCGTATTTTTACCTTCCTTTTATTAGCTCGGGATGTAACTATGTAATATTGATGCGCCTAAAAGATGCAGCGACTTCTATTCTCAAGTCACATACCTGATGACAGTACGAATGGCAATTATAATAGGGAGGTTTTAGTTTTTTAAACTATAATTTTATTATACCTGAACATGTTTGAAGGTATGTAAAACTATAATTCATAAAAAAAGGCGAAGGTAGTAAACTATTTTCTTTGATTTCAAGTTTTTTAATAAATTTTTTTTAAACAAATCTGAAACGCTTACACATAATTTCGAGGAAATAATGCATGAGAACAAATAATGTTAAAAATTGCGCGAACGCTTCCAATAAAATTGTTTACTTCTGATGAGCACTGGAACAAATCCGTATTTGAAAATGATATCGATATTGTATAAAATAGATGATTGTCGGTCGAAGAAAATCGAGGATCGAGCTAAATATATTTCTCCCAACACATGACTTGGTAACTAAATATAACCAAATTAGGTAACTATAACCGAATCGTGTGTTGACAGAAACATATTTAGTTGACGTAACTAAACTCTTTTCTTAGTGTAAAGATATTAGTTTAGTTTATTATGATAAATATGCTGTTTTATTGATTCACCGCAATTAAATATGTATATTTTAGGATTGTTCGAAACAAGGCTGCTGAAAAAGCAAAACATGTCCATCATCAACAACCACAACCACCTGGTAACAACGGCAACTCTAACCACAATGCCGTAGACAGTGTGGACAGCAACTGCAATGATGTAAGCCACCAGACACAAAACAGTACCAACAACTCAAATAACACAACGTCGGTTATAGCGCATGCACCAGCAGCGGCAGCTACGGGTGCTGCCGCAGGAGCACATTTACAGCAGCAGCAACAACAAAATATACTTAGCGCAGTAGCGTCAAGGACAGGAGTTGCTGGTAATGGCAATAACAGTCACAATGGCGTTGAACACCGGTCGACTGGATATAGCATAAATGGTATATTAGGCATACACCACTCCACAGATCTACATGGAAATAACCTTAAAAGAAAACTGATAGATGATCATGGTAAGTTTAGTACGGAGTCGTTCAGCTAATCTCTTAACATAAGTACTTAGGTGCATGTGTCCATTTACGCTTTTATGCTATGTAGCGACTCCGGCGCAACTAATTCAAAACTATCGATTGCACCATCGATATTATCGATGTTTTTTTTATTTTGCGCCACTTTCTATTGCTATTGGGCACTATCGATAGTCCGAAAGACACGTAAATCAGTATTATTTCTTGTTTTAATTAACTCTAACTAAATGCCATTTAGCTTTCGTTGAACTTCAGATCAGCTTTATTTAAATATGCCAAACAAGTGGCAACACTGTTGCCTGTTCCTTGAAATCGTTGTTGCATTTGTTTGTTTGCTGTGTTCGTATGGAACAGTAGCTTATGTCGAAAGGCTGGCTTTAGTATAATACGGCATTCAGAGCATACTATTGCGAATGACTCACTGGTGCCCAGAGAACGTAAAGTATTGAGAACGACCAAGAACGAATCAGCGTGGAAATTGTCAAATACCATCAACTCTGGCGAAGCGCATTTTAAGAGCGTACAGCCAGAGACAAACGAATTTTAACAAAGCCCAGCCAGAGGCAAAATAAATTTAACAGAAATTGTCTCATCATTAGCTCTGTACAGTACAAAAAATAATTTTTTTTTTAATACATCCGTTGGATTTTGCATGTTTTTTTTCGAAGAACAATATTTTTGACCACACATACGACTGAAAACATAATTCATTTATAAACAATATATAATAAAATAAAATAAAATGTCTACCATACGTGGGCGTACAAAATTTTTGACTCTCATTTCCATATGAAATAAATAAATTACCACGACAACTGACAAAAAAAGAGGACTGTCCCGTATAATAGAGGACGGATGGTCTCCGTAATTATACATCAGGTGCCAGCGACACAAGTCAGTGTAGAACGCGCGTTCTCAGCACTTAGCTTATTCTTAGCGATTTTCGATGCAATTTGTCGGAGCAGAACTTGGCAGCTATATTAATTGTTAAATTGAATTCCTAATCATTCCTGTAAAAAGGTGAATAACTTAAAGCTTAAATTAAAAAAACTGAGTATACAGAACAGAACAGAAGATAGAAAACTGCAATTGAAAGGATATGCAGTTTTTAACCGACTTCCAAAAAAGGAGGAGGTTATCAGTTCGTCGGAATATTTTTTTTTTATTTTTTTTTTATGTATGTTACCGCATAACTTTGGACCACGTCAACCGATTTCGATAATTCTTTTTGCATCGGAAAGGTAGTGTCTCAGAGGTGGTCGCATACTAATCTGGTTAAGATCCGATCAGCGGATCATGAGATATATATATATATATATTTTTTATATGGGAGTTGAAGTCGGTTTTTTTTTGCTAAAAATTACTTGTTATTAAAACATATTGTATTGTATTGTGCAAATTTTGAGGAGATCGTCGATACATCGATGTCTCGATACCTCGGAGAACTCAACATCGATGCCAAAATGCATCGGCAGAAAATCATCGATACATCGATGGTTTCCGATGTTTTACAGTTTGTTAGGCCATAGTGTGATTATAATACATTTAATCTTTTTCAATCCCAAACAATACAGTAGGGCTGTTCAGCATCTTGTGTATATGCTGCTGCATTTGCATATTCGTTGTATTTGTAAATTCACAACAATAAAATGCACACGGTTGCCATGGCAGCCAGCATAAACTTTGCAAATGCAATTCCAACTGCAAATCCCAGACCATTTCCAGAACATCCTGAACAGCCCTGGCCTTCTGTTATGCAGTGAGGGAAATGCATACATATGGATCAATTTCCCTGTGTTTAATTAACCTTCTGCTAATACATGCATATGTAGAATGAAAATTAATATTATGGTTAGGTCGCTGGGTCCCAAATTTACCAGGACTGAGTTCTTTGGAATTTTATGAGCCCGCATAATGAGGATTTTCTATTACAGCAATAAATCCGTTTTAAGTGTTGAGTGAGTAATACAATTTTTTTTTTAAATAATGGGTAAGTTGAATCAAAAAGAATTGGGAGTCACACTGAATTGGATGTTCAAAACATCGTTGAAACTGACATCGATTTATCACCAATTTAGCGATTTTAGAAAATTGTAAATATCGATGGCAAACATTGAATTTTGAACCGATATTATCCATGTTCTAAAACATCGTTGCATCATTTGCATCCCTAATTGTGCATATGTGAACTGCTATTTTGACCGAAAAAATAAAAGACAGATTTAACTTTTACAATTGACTGAAAAAATAAAAGTCAAATTTTAACTTTTATATTTGACCGAAAAATAAGTCAGTTTTTAACTTTTATTTTTGACCGAAAAAATAAAAGTCAAATTTTAACTTTTATATTTGACCGAAAAATAAGTCAGTTTTTAACTTTTATTTTTGACCGAAAAAATAAAAGTCAAATTTTAACTTTTATATTTGACCGAAAAATAAGTCAGTTTTTAACTTTTATTTTTGACCGAAAAAATAAAAGTCAAATTTTAACTTTTATATTTGACCGAAAAAATAAAAGTCAAGTTTTAACTTTTACTCTTGACTAAAAAAATATCAGTCAAAAAATAGCGGTTAATTGCTGACTTTATTGAAAAAAGTAAAAAAAATTAAATCATAAAAGAGTAACATTCCTTGGCTAACAAGCATCACATTGCTATATACAAATGTTAAAAAGACCACTTGTTTTCAGAGTTCCACGTGTAACTGACTCCATCATACATAGATATAACAATACAACTTTTACTTAGTCTATCTTTACATGTTTGCGTGTACAAGTGTAGAATGTATTTACATATGTATGTGTGTGTGTGGGTGTACGTTGGTGCACATGCAGGTTTTTAGTTGCAATGTTTTTCTTAACTCATTATTTGGATGTACATACCCTGCAGCAAATCAAACTGGTTCAGAACTTGCGCTGAGCTAGCCTGAAAAGGGACGGTACTGGTTCTTCATCTATCCCAACTCAATGCTTGCAACTGTCTTTTTTAACATGGCGATGTCCTACGAAGTGACAATTGTCGCCATCTGCAGACCTTTTGAACTTGTTCTGAGCTTACTCTGGCTTAGATGGTTCTGATACAGTTCATATAACAACAGTTCTTAGATAGTTCAAAAAGGGTCACCTCCGGGCTAGAAATAATGTGGTTAGTTTTGAGCTGGTTCTAATAAGTATAGAGCCTTTTCTTTAAATAAGCACGCAAACAATTTTGTAAATAAAAATACTTCATTATATGTTTCAAGAGCTATTTGTTTTGAACTAATTTACTTTTTGACGCAAACTGTGCTTTAAATTTAGGAACATAAAGTGTCAATTATTCCTTTATTTTCTAAAACCGTTATTCTTAAAAATAATTTATATTTGTTACGTATAATGGGTATTTCTGGGATACCTATAATTAAAAATCTGAACTAAGTCGTGTCAAAAAATGAGAAAAACGGTGATATATTGAATGATTATTTCGTGATAACTCAGAGTTAAATTGCATTAAATTTATTGAAATGCAATACATGGACTTTCCGGCATCTCATAAGAAATATAGAATTTTGAATATTCGCAATAGTTTTCATGCTAAATATTTTTCGTAAATTTTTTATTTAAGGATGGCTCATAAGTATTAAACATAAACAAATAAATTCACGTTTCTAACTGTGTTGGAAATTTAGTAGAATTCTAGAAACTGTTATAAAAACTTCAATATTTTAAATCAGAGTTTATAAGTATGCAGTTCTATAGCCCATTAAATTTTAGTATAATTAATCGCGCTGATTTTTTATAACTCTTTTTACGCACGCTCTTGAAGGCATTCTCCTATTTAAATATTTTCGTTTAAGATGCAAGATTACACTTTACTACACTAAAATTGTATGGGCTACAAAACAGAATACTCGAAATATTTATAAAAAATATCTGATTAAAGATTTGAAATTTTGAAGACAGTTTTTAGAGTTCTATAAGTTTGCAGGACAGTTAGGAATTTGAATTTAAATGGTTTATGGAGTATGAGACATAGTACTTAAATAAAAACTAAACGAAAAATATTTTATAATGAAGAACATTGGAAATTAAAAATCAATGCATAACTACACACTTCGGGGGCTTAGTGATACATTTACGTATGTACATTATCGTTCATATGAATAGCACTCCCATTTCAAAGTGAGATTGTTTACCACTTTTGCAAATTTTTTTACATCTGATTAAAAGGTCAAACATTTTGACGAAAAATCGTTAAATTTAACTTTGTTTTGTATAAAGTTTTAAAACACGGTTTATATGATTTTATTCGTATTTTATACATACGTACGTAGATATGTATAAAAATGACATTAATGTACCAATAACGACTTTTTTGGAAATATTTGAGCAGTTGCCCCATAAACTATGTAGAGAATTACATATTAAATAAACGAAAACAGTTTGTTATTACTTTTAGGGTCTAAGAAAATCGAAAAAATATAGTATATTACATTTGTGCATCTTTTGTCAGCTTTCACATGACCAGGATGAGTAACATTGATGACAGCGCAACTAGCAACATATGAGTTTCAACCGTCCAACTCTGCATCCCTTTTTCAGTAGTTCAGAGACAGTTCTGAAATTTGTAGGGCGGAACTAGCGCTTTGCCAGACTGTCCCTAAATGGAAAACATAACATGTCAAGTGCTTTTGCCTAAGGAAATCAATTATATCGGATCAAGGTCCATATTTTATGACCTTTGCCTTTTTTATCGATAAACACTTAGGTGCATTAACAATGTGCATACCAGGGTTGTTGCGAATATTCGCATTCGCATTCGCTCCGCGGAGCTTCCGCATTAATTTTAACATTCGCATTCGCTTTCGCATTCGCAATAATCAATGCGGAGCATTTGCGAATCCGAATATTGTGCAAGTGCACAAATCAAATAAGAATCAAGAGAGTTAAAGAAGTGCCTACCTAAAAAGCCTGCGCTCCTCTTAGCCAAAGCTGTGCAACTACAGAAGAA